CCTCTGTTCACTCGCGATTCCGCAATCGTTTTGTTTTACGCTTGCCTCCACCAGTGCTCCTTTTGTTTTTCCTGTTTTCTCACCATTACCAGGATTTTCCATTATTACTGAGGACTATCAAATTGACGAGCGAATTTACGGCTGTCATACCGTTTAATCGCGTTCCCAGTGCAGTGTGAAAATGATGAAAGACGGGTGTATATCAATCGTTTAAGCTCAAAAAGCTTTTTGATGTGATGAAAACAATGCATTGACGGGTGGATAGTGTTCCTTGGGGGTTCAGAAAACTTTTACGAGGAGAATTATTCGGTTTATTCAGCTGAAGACAATCGGGAAATTTTGAATTGTTGTAAATTAATTTGGTAATATTTTTATTTCGAGGGGAGAGCATAATGTAACGATGTAATTTAATCTGAGCACCAGAGAACAAGGATTTCACTATGAAAAAACAAATTTTCTCGGTTGGAGCTCATTTTTCTTCTCTTTCCATTGATTTGAAGATAATTTTACTCATGCTTGTCCCTGCTCCAAGAATCTATTGAGAGTGAAATACGATTGGCCGTATTTAGGATTTTTTCGGGGGGAAAGTCGATTTTCGCCAAAATGGAATTTTTCCGCCGAGTGAAGGTTGATTCTGTATTTTCTGGCCCGCCTAATGCCACTGCGCCCCTCACTCGGCCCAAAAATGCAGAAATAAAAATTTTTTTTTTTCACCCGGAGCCAAAGTGGAATTCAGGCTTTTTTCGGGGGGGAAAGTCGACTTTCGCCAAAATGGAATTTTTCCGCCGAGTGAAGGCTGATTCTGTATTTTCTGGCCCGCCTAATGCCACTGCGCCCCTCACTCGGCCCAAAAATGCAGAAATAAAAATTTTTTTTTTTCACCCGGAGCCAAAGTGGAATTCAGGCTTTTTTCGGGGGGGAAAGTCGACTTTCGCCAAAATGGAATTTTTCCGCCGAGTGAAGGCTGATTCTGTATTTTCTGGCCCGCCTAATGCCACTGCGCCCCTCACTCGGCCCAAAAATGCAGAAATAAAAATTTTTTTTTTTCACCCGGAGCCAAAGTGGAATTCAGGCTTTTTTCGGGGGGGAAAGTCGACTTTCGCCAAAATGGAATTTTTCCGCCGAGTGAAGGCTGATTCTGTATTTTCTGGCCCGCCTAATGCCACTGCGCCCCTCACTCGGCCCAAAAATGCAGAAATAAAAATTTTTTTTTTTCACCCGGAGCCAAAGTGGAATTCAGGCTTTTTTCGGGGGGGAAAGTCGACTTTCGCCAAAATGGAATTTTTCCGCCGAGTGAAGGCTGATTCTGTATTTTCTGGCCCGCCTAATGCCACTGCGCCCCTCACTCGGCCCAAAAATGCAGAAATAAAAATTTTTTTTTTTCACCCGGAGCCAAAGTGGAATTCAGGCTTTTTTCGGGGGGGAAAGTCGACTTTCGCCAAAATGGAATTTTTCCGCCGAGTGAAGGCTGATTCTGTATTTTCTGGCCCGCCTAATGCCACTGCGCCCCTCACTCGGCCCAAAAATGCAGAAATAAAAATTTTTTTTTTTCACCCGGAGCCAAAGTGGAATTCAGGCTTTTTTCGGGGGGGAAAGTCGACTTTCGCCAAAATGGAATTTTTCCGCCGAGTGAAGGCTGATTCTGTATTTTCTGGCCCGCCTAATGCCACTGCGCCCCTCACTCGGCCCAAAAATGCAGAAATAAAAATTTTTTTTTTTCACCCGGAGCCAAAGTGGAATTCAGGCTTTTTTCGGGGGGGAAAGTCGACTTTCGCCAAAATGGAATTTTTCCGCCGAGTGAAGGTTGATTCTGTATTTTCTGGCCCGCCTAATGCCACTGCGCCCCTCACTCGGCCCAAAAATGCAGAAATAAAAAT